TAGCAGTTGTAGTAGCAGTAGCAGAACTACTACTACCACTACTACTACGACGAAGACGACGACCACGACCCTACGGCAACCATAAATTCCAGTCCCCACGCCCCCTTCCAAAGCACTCTGTCGGGTACCGGGAGCCCTGCTTCGCCGGCCCCAGTCACGGCCAAAGAGCGTACGGGTATTGTCCTGGCTGGATTGCTGCCGTGCCTCTCTAGGCGTGGTCAGAGTCTGAACCATACCACCAAGGACGCCGTCTTATTCAGGAAACGGCATGGGCACTTTAGGCTGAAAGTTCCTGTACTCGGGCCCTGATATTTCAAGAGTCCACCCAAAACGTGCAAGAACCGGGGAAGCAACATTTCCGCACCGGGATTGAGCTACGACGTATCAGTGCTGAGCCTTTTTTCTGGAACACCCTGAACCATGCGGCCTTAGACCCTAAAGTCACCGCATAACCTGAAGCCGGAGCCCTACATATATACTGCCCGGGCTCAAACTCTAAACGCTGAAGCCTCGCAATTTTGCTGGAATGAGAACCCCAGAACGGAGGTGTCGGAGTCAAGGGCTCAAGCGGCTTCAGGACGACTTCCTAAACCATGCAATGTCTATGCGTGTTTACATGTACGTATACGCATACATACCTCTCTATAAATGTATATCCGGAACTATGCACATACGCCCCTAAGCGTATGCGTACTTGTGTCCGTGTTTATATTTTGGCTCCCTTCTCGATTTGTGCGCTTGTGTATATATATATATGTGTGTGTGTGTGTGTGTGTGTGTGTGTGTGTGTTTGTGTGTGTTTGTGTTGTGTGTGTGTGTGTTTGTATTTGCGTTTGCGTTTGTGTTTGTGTTTGTGTTTGTGTTTGTGTTTGTAATTATGTTTTGTGTGCGTGCGCGCGCGCAGTTTTCAGTGTCTGTGTTCGCGTTTGCGTATGCATGTATGCATGTATGCATGTATGTATGTATGTATGTATGTATGTATGTATGTATGCACGTAGGTTTATGTATGTATCTTTCTCGTTTGTTTGTATTAACATACAGACACAGGCGGGCGGGGATTCAAGACACCCCTCTTTGTCTACAAAGTCCTGACTTCTTGTGTTTCCCACCTTACTGGGGGGTCCTTACGGACCCCACACAGGTTCTGCTCCGAGAAAGCATTCCTGTTGCTTTTGTTTAATTCCTACGAAATCACCTAGTGCTCGGCTCTTAATACGGTCGAATCTTTAAGACGCCCACGGGCGGTCGGCACATTTCTCCGACAGAATGACTCGGCACTTAAGACTTACCCAACACGCCTATGCGGGGCGCGAGGCCTACTGTGATCTTATGGTAAACACCCGATTCCGGAAAAAAATTGCCTGTAAACACCAGAAACCTTTGTTTTCTATAAACCAAGGCATGTCTTAAATCCCGCGCCCGGCTAAACATATACCTATACATATACATATAAGCAGATAGACAGATAGACAGAGAGATAGCTAGGTAGGTAGGTGGACAGATAAAGAATTACTCAAGCAAACAAGAACATGGTTGGATAAATAGACAGACAGACAGACCGAGACAGATGGATAGAGATATAGATACGTGTGTGTGGCCCCGCTTGGGCAAACCTCTCAAAGCCTGAGTTGTTGCATGTTGTATTGAGCCGCAGACGGAAGAAATATTCCAAAAACCCACGTTTCCCCCAAGCACAGGGATAAGCTAGACTCGTTCAGGTTTTTCTTGGACGGATTCTTAGACAAATCGAAGGTCTGGGACCTGCCGACGAAAGGCCGTCTCGTAGTTCAACGAATCAATTAATTACGGCATCCATGCGGCGCTGCAGACCAACGTGGAGTTGGTCCATGAAAGATTTTTTAGGCATCCTGACCTACAAGCCCTTCTTGCAGTGGCCCCAGTGCATCCTAATGTGATCTAATGTGCCGGAGCTGCCGAGAGCCATGCTAGCAACGGCTCCACAAAGAGGCTCAGCAGGGTGCTGAAGACGAGGGCTGCCGACCTAAGTTGAAGCAACTAAGTAGTCCTAGCACTATCCAAAGTACGAGCAGCACTTCCTTTTCAGGTTTTGATGCGCTTTGAGAAAGGCTTAGGCTTCTGCTTGGTCGAGGGTTTCAGGGTCGTTGGCTGCCGTTGCCCATGCTCGGCCTTTAGCGCCTATTCTGGGTGTAGGGCCCATGCAGATCCTATAGAGTTTGCGCACTTTACGGACCTTCTCGTGTATGAGCTCGTTCGTGGGATTGCCGCGCTTTGCTAGCACTTGCGCGTCCACCTATATCTGCGCAGCAGCACGCGGCAGGAATGGAAGCAATCTGGCAAGCTGGCCTAGTTCGGGGAGCTCGACAACTACTACTGTAGCTCTCGCATAATCATAACCATACCTGGCATCCACAGTTTCTCTGTTCAGGCTGCTGAAGCTTCAGTGCTGCGGCACTCGCTCTCGGGCAAGCCAGGCGAAGTCCATGGCCACGGTCAGCATCAGCTCGATAAGGAGTTCAGAGCCTCTTAAATCGAACAGGTCGGTACCATGTCAAAAACCTCCGTCACCGACACAAAGATAACAAGCTCAGAGAAACCCTTCTAACGAGCACAGGTGCGGCACCCTTCGCTCCGTTCGGCTTCACGTGCTGAAGCGTCAGGTCCGGCGGGGCTTCTGGCATCGTTGTTCTGGCACCGCCCTCATCATCCCCATCGCCGCATCATCGCTTCGGCCGTAGCCAGCATCGTCGTCATCTCCAGGCAGAGTGCACTGCGCAATTGCCGTCTCGATATTCTTAAAGGAAGTTGAAGATTTGAGATGCGCAAGACGTCTTGAGCGGCTTTGCCCATCTATCTCACCACCGTGAGAATGTCAGAGGCACAGGCCGTAGAATCCTGTCCTGGCTGTGCGCAGTCGGCTGTTGAGCATTCGGGCGACCACTGTGAGGTCGTATAATTATACAAGGGCGCCGTGATATCCGTGGCAAAACGCGGCTTGTTCGGCGAGATGATCGGCACTGAGGTGGTGGGCATCACGGATGCCACCGTGGGAATCTGAGGCGCAGGTGGCGAAGCAGCAAGCAGCGCAAAAAGGATGTCCCCGCCATCTGTCATCTCCTCACCACGCAACTGCGCGGCTGCCAGCAGCCAGAGCCGTCTGAGAGTTCGGCCTATGCTCTTCACCGAAATGGCTTGAGTGCCGAGGATGAAAGCGACGACAAACGCTACGGTTGCAAACTTACTAGGCCCTGGAGCTACACTATAGGCTGCAGAATTCGGCGATTTACCCATGCATAGTTTTCTTCAGCTGTCTCACAACTCGTAGCGGCATGCATGAAACGTGTGACACATCTCGGGCAGCTTGTCGAATATCGACAAAACTGTTGAAGTTCTGGGGTCTTGGGATCTTAGGGATGTACCGACCTCCCGGATTAGCGCTGGACCCTCGAGGGTGTACCAAACTGCCGGATCAACAAAGTAAAAATCAATCAATAAAATAAGCTTACTCGTACTAGTACGAGTACGAGTAGTAGTATAGCAATGGCAGTAGTAACAGCAGTAGTGTTGTTAGCACGAGTGGCGGCAGTAGTAGTCGTCGTCGTCGTGGTAATGGAAGTAGCAGTAGCAGCAGCAGGAGGAGGAGTAGTAGTAGCAGTAGTAGTAGTGGTAGTAGGTAGTAGCTAGTAGGTCGTAGGTAGTAGGTAGTAGGTAGGAGGTAGTAGCAGTAGTCGTCGTCGTCGTCGTAGTAGTAGTAGTAGTGGTAGTAGTAGTAGTAGTAGTAGTAGTTGTTGTTGTTGTAGTGGTAGTAGTGGTAGTGGTAATGGTAGTAGTAGTAGTAGTAGTAGTAGTAGCAGTAGGAAGACCCCCCTACCAACTACTTTTGTTATTAACAGCACATCTGTTTCTCTCGGTAGTTACGGTACCACTTCTTCTTGCTTCCTGGATTTTGGAAAAATTGGGTAACGGATTGGGGAGGGGGGTGGGGGGGAGGGATCATGACGACATTGTTACACGGACACCCCGAACAATATCTCCACAAGAGCCTTTTTATTCGTTTTGAACCCAGACTCAAATCCATTTACAGTACTTTCGTCGTGTCGGATCCGCTTATATAGTCACCAAACCTACTTCTGCACTTTGCGAACTCGACTTTGATATTTCGGAGGGCTTTCGGCGAAAACTCGAAATTGGATGGTGGAAGCTTTTTCGGGGGATGATCACGACACTGCTTCGCGGACGCCCCGAACAATATCTTCACGTCTAGCGCGCACACACCACACAGTACTTCAAAACCAAACCCTCCTACGCCGAGGTCTGGGCTTTAGGGGTGTCGGAGAGCTCCAGGTTTTAGGAGTGTTAAAACCATCTTGGCAGCACCTGCGTTTTGCACGGTATTTACAGCGTTTTCGTACTATCCGACCGCCTGTGCTTTAGCTGTTTCTTCCCCGTCGAGTTTGACACTCCAACTGCTGTCGCAGTTTTGGGGCCTGAGCCTCTGCAACAAGGCACGTGAGAATGGGCAACTTCTGCAGTTGTCACAGATAGGGAGCTTGAGCCCGTGCATCTTCTGCAGCTGCCGCAGTTAGGAAGCCTAGAAGCTGCCACTGCCCAGCCCGGGTGGCGCCAGTAGTTGGTAGGGGGGGGCGGCTAGTAGTAGTAGCAGTGGTGGTGGTAGTAGTAGTAGTAGCAATAGGAGGGTTGTTCCTGGGGAATCCGTGGAAGATTAGTGTGCATATATGAACTCGCACGCCTATAGACACGTCACAGCCCCCGACCGCCCTGGACGTGATAAAGTACACTGGGCGAAGGCCTGCATGACGCAGGCTGCGCAGCACATAGACCATCGCTTGTCGGATGCTGTGCCAAGGCATGATCAAGTGGATCACTCCTTTTTGGCTCTGCGCATCGCTCCTCCGGGCTCATATGGATGGATAACACTTCGCTGTTCCCACAGGTACATCCCAGATGTCAAGGCAGACAATTTTGGACTAAAGTTGTTCACAAACCTCCCAAGGGCAAGGGACGGTAATTTAGCCCACCAATCATGAAATAGGATAGATCGGTGCTGATGGGCTCGTTTCGGAGAGCCTTCCGCGTTCGAGAAAAGTAGTAGTAGTAGTAGGAGGAGGAGTAGTAGGAGTCGTAGTAGTAGAAAGAAGTTAGTAGTTAGTAGTTAGTAGTTAGTAGTTAGCAGTTAGCAGTTAGTAGTTAGTAGTTAGTAGTTAGTAGTTAGCATTTAGTAGTTAGTAGTTAGTAGTTAGTAGGTAGTAGGTAGCAGTTAGTAGTTAGTAGTTAGTAGTTAGTAGTTAGTAGTTTGTAATTAGTAGTTCGTAGTTCGTAGTTCGTAGTTCGTAGTTCGTAGTTCGTCGTTAGTAGTTAGTAGTTAGTAGTTAGTAGTTTGTAGTTAGTAAGTAGTAAGTAGTAGTTAGTAGTTAGTAGTTAGTAGTTAGTAGTTAGTAGTTAGTAATTAGTAGTTAGTAGCTAGTAGTTAGTAGTTAATAGTTAGTTAGTAGTTAGTAGTTAGTAGTTAATAGTTAGTAGCTAGTAGTTAGTAGCTAGTAGTTAGTAGTTAGTAGGTAGTAGGTAGTAGGTAGTAGGTAGTAGGTAGTAGGTGGTAGGCAGAGGTGGTAGTAGTAGTAGTAGCAGTAGTAGTAGTAGTAGTAGTAGTAGTAGTAGTAGTAGTAAGTAGTAAATAGTAAGTAGTAAGTCGTACGTCGTAAGTCGTAATTCGTAAGTAGTAAGCAGTAAGCAGTAAGCAGTAAGCAGTAAGCAGTAAGTAGTAAGTAGCAAGTATAAGTATAAGTAGTAGTAGTAGTAGTAGTAGTAGTAGTAGTAGTAGGCCTAGTAGTAGTAGTAGTAGTAGTAGTAGTAGTAGTAGTAGTAGGACTAGTAGGAGGAGTCGTAGTAGTTGTTGTTGTAGTTGCATGTAGTTGTAGTTGTAGTGGTAGTGTTGTTGTTGTGCTAGTAGT